TTAACTGGGAGACTGGAATCACCTGAGAAATCTGGGGGGTGTTTAACTGGGAGCCTGGAGTCATCCAAAAAATTTAGGGGGCCTTAACTGGGAGACTGGAGTCACCTGAGGAATTTGGGAGGGGGTTCACCTGAGAGCCTGGAGTCACCCGAGGAATCTGGGGGGCCTTAATTGGGAGACTGGAGTCACCCGAGGACTTTGGGAGGGGGTTCAACTGGGGAGACTGGAATCACCCCCTGAGAAATTTAGGGGGCCTTAACTGGGAGACTGGAATTACCCAAGGAATCTGGGGGGTGTTCAACTGGGAGACTGGAATCACCCAAGGAATTTGGGGGGTGTTCAACTGGGAGACTGGAATCACCCGAGGAATTTGGGGGGCGTTCAACTGAGAGCTTGGAGTCATCTGAGGAAATTCGGGAGGGGGTTCAACTGGGAGCCTGGAGTCACCCAAAAAATTTAAGGGGCCTTAACTGGGAGACTGAAATCACCCTAGGAAATTCAGGAGGGGGTTCAACTGGGAGACTGGAATCACCTGACAAATTTGGGAGGGGGTTAAACTGGGAGACTGGAGTCACCCAAGGAATCTGGGGGGCATTAACTGGGAGAATGGAATTACCTGATGAATTTAGGGGGTGTTTAACTGGAAGACTGGAATCACCCAAGAAATTTAGGGAGCATTAACTGGGAGACTGGAATTACCCAAGGAATTTGGGAGGGGGTTTAACTGGGAGCTTGGAGTCACCTGAGGAAACTCGGGAGGGGGTTCAACTGGGAGTCTGGAGTCACCCCAGAAATTAAGGGGGCCTTAACTGGGAGACTGGAATCACCCAAGGAATTTAGGGGGCCTTAACTGGGAGACTGGAGTCACCCAAGGAATTTGGGGTTGTTCAACTGAGAGACTGGAGTCACCCAAGGAATTTGGGAGGGGGTTTAACTGGGAGCTTGGAGTCACCTGAGGAAACTCGGGAGGGGGTTCAACTGGGAGTCTGGAGTCACCCCAGAAATTAAGGGGGCCTTAACTGGGAGACTGGAATCACCCAAGGAATTTAGGGGGCCTTAACTGGGAGACTGGAGTCACCCAAGGAACTGAGGAATTTGGGAGGGGGTTTAACTGGGAGCCCGGAGTCACCCCAGGGCCCAGAGGGGATTTTAGTGGGGGGTAAGGCTCTGACCTGTGCCGGCTTCAGAGAGGCCGTTCCGCACGGCCAGCGCGGGTCCCCGTGCGGGCCGTCGTCCTCCGCTGCCGCCCCCGAACCCCCCCCCGCCGTTGTTGTAGCCGTCGTAGGTGCTGCTGCCGCCGTAGCCCCGGTTGCCGCCGGAGTAGCGGGGGCGGCTGCCGCCGTAACCTGGGGGAGAGGAAGGAGGAGGGCGCTGAGGCGCGAG